AGCCAATGTAGGTCAGTGAAAAAAGAGTTAGTCTTTGTTGCTTAAGTGTTGTTTAAGATGTTAAAATGTATTAGGCTATTTTCTTTTAGTATAGCGTTCTGCTGAGGCTAAATCATCCTAATGAAATGCTGTACTACAACTATAGGAACTTTTCTCCCACTCTGTGAAAATGGCAGGAAAATTTTCTACAAATTGTGCCTAGCCCATTGTTCCTTGAAGCATTCAAAAAAATAGAGGGAAGGGCATTTTTTGAAATCGTGTTGGGGTTTTTTTATCCTGTCCTCTAAATCTAGAGTGTTATATAGAAAGCAAGACTCCAGAACATCATGTAATAATGCTAGTCTATTATTTTGCAAAAATAAATAAACAAAAATGCAGTTCTGTTCTATAATCAAGTCATGTCCAGAGTTAATTATATTTAGGATATTTATGGAATATTTAAAATTCTCTAGAGGGCTATACCAGTGTTGAGAATCTGGAAGAAAATTATGAGAAACCTTAGTAGAGACATGGTAATAGCTTTGTATTATTTCTCTAGAAAATTAAATTATGACAGTTTGTAGGAGCTGGAGAGAGGTTTAAACACTACATTTAAAAAAATTATGAACAACAGTGCTCAGGCCTCAGAAATGGTGACATCAGTCTCACAATACCAGGGAGAGGTTATGTGGACAGTCATACAAATTCAGTAGAAAGGTTGATGATGGAATACAAGATCATATTCTAAAGTATTTCCTAACTCAGAATTTTCTGCTACTGTATACTAATTACCTCCTTTATCCTATAGCAACATTTTATTTATTTTATTTTTTGGTACTGGGGATCAAACTCAACCTCATGCTTGCCAGACAGGTGCTTATGCCACTGAATAAATCCCTGGCACTATAGCAACATTATTATTATTATTATTATTATTATTGTTAGCCCTAGAGATCGAACTCACAACCTTGTGCTTGCCAAGCAGGTGCTTGTGCTGCTGAGCTATATCCCCAGCTTTATAGCAACATTTTTAAACAGGAATTATATAGGTAAGAATTCTTTGGTTGGCACATTAAACCAACAGAAATTGATACGCATGTTTAGAAGATAGCCTACTCGGTTTTTTGTTTTTTTTTTTTTTATCATTCCATCAGCACTACCACAAAGGAATAAGGCAGCAAATGATTTGTGTGTTAGAAGAGCCAGAATTAGAGACTAAGTCTTGTGCATTTTCTATTAAAGAATAATGAGTGAAACAGCTGCAGAGTCTCAGGGCAGCTAGTGGTGTTGCTGTCTGACTGTTTGACTTACTATACATAAAAAAGGATGCTTTTTGCTTAGTACTAAAAGCAAAGTAGGAAAATCTGCCCTGCAAAGTCTAGAGTTGTTGTTGTTATTGTTGTCACTGCTGTTAGTTATAGAATAATATTACAAAAATAGGATTTTTATTCAAAACAGACTTCATGTAGCTCCATATCATGGTACAAAGATTGTCACGTAAATTTTAATCAGTTCCAACATATGGTAAGACCATTTTAGAAAGCATGTAGAAAGTAGATTATACTGTTTTAGCGAGGTTATAAGCCTCCCTGTTCACTCTATAAGTAGTGTGGGACTTCAAAAGAATTTCTTTCTCAGAACCTTTCTATGGAAACTGGTTATGAGTTAGCATAAATCCAGGACATCTGAAGTGTTCCAGAATAGCTAGATTTTAAAGAATTACTGTAAAGCCTCCATTTAAGGGGAGATAGTGAATTACCTGGCAGCATATTTTATGTAGCACATTGCACTTAAAAGCAAGCTGATTAGGGTCTTGTCTTATAGGCTTTGTTTGACCTCAGCAGGTAAAGACTAAATAGATTGAGGCTGGTCCCTATAGAAGTCCTTCTCCACAGTCTGCAAGGCTGCTACTGTCCAGCCTGCCTTAGCAGTGACCAGAGCAAAAGAACGTGTGTTTTAACAAGCATTCTGAGTAGCTCCACATACAGCGCATGCTGAAGGTAGCTGGGATAAAGAGAAAGCTCAGGCAGCACAGGGTTTACTTCAAAATGCATTTCACCTTGACTGTGAAAATATTAGGAGAAAATATTAGCTGTGATTTGCTAGAATAACTCATTCAGTCATTTAAATTGTCGTGAACTCACAGGACAATAATGGAAATGAAAAACATATGATAGACTGAAATTTTAAGCATCCTAGGCAAACTCTGTGGATAAAGAATGGGAATGCTGCTTTTATCCATGTGTAGGAACATACCAACTTGGTGTCACTTTTCCTGTTTCTATTAATTTGCACTGTATTCCACCTCCTAAGGCTGGGGGCCACCTCTTCTCTCTCTGCTTCTTTTCCCTTTCCTGCACCTAAAATACTTCCCTTCTGCATTCTGCTCTTCCCTTAGCCTTCTCTTCATGCCTCACTTCCCTTTGGGCAACTTTATTTTGGGCTCTTTGCAACTAGCTGCATACATGCGAGTAGCTTCCAACTTCTGTCTAACCTTTGATCATATTTCCACTGTCTCCTGAACATCTCCATCCAAATTGCATGGGACCTTCAAATTCAGCAGATCCCACCTAGACTAATTTTATTTTTCAAGTGTTTTCCATCTATTTTATTTCTTGGTAAGTCACATGAAAGCTACACAGTAGTCTAAGCCAGTGATACTGTCATTCCTCTTCACTCTCAATCCATCACAGCTAACTAATCATTAAGTTACATAATTTCTGCCTTCTTAAGGCATTTCAAATTACTTTCCTCCTCTCCATTTCCACTGTCATCACCTCAGTTCACATTTTCAACATTTACAAGAGCCAGAGAAGTCTATAAATGCCTGATTGTGACACTGCCCTACTTAAAACCTTTAGTGCCTGCCATTGCTACATACGTGGGTATTTGCAGAGATTAGGAAAAAAATGGACCATGTGTGACACAAGAAGGAAGAATAAGAAAATACACCCCTGACTATAAAGAATCATACTCAGAACTTTGAAAGACAAATAACAAACTTAACAGAGTCTAATTTGCCTGTGGATCTCCAGTTAGTACAGCCGAGTCTAACCTACTGAGCATATGATCCATATTTCTTTGCTATGAACTATCCTTGAGATGGCATCTTGGAACTCTTGGCTTTTACAGAGACTGATATAACCAGTAAATCATGTTTTGTTTCTGTATCAAAATATATAAGCATAAAGAGTTATGTGTTTATCATGGTAAGTACCTCTATGTTCATGGTAGAGGCTGTTGAGAAAAATGAAACTTTTATGGGTTTCACTTCTCCTATATATTAATTGTGTGCTCTTTATGTAACTGCTTAGAGCCTCAGTTTCCTTCTCTGCATAAAAAAAAATGAAATCAGAACTTTATGATTGAGAGTATAAAATCAAATAATAAATAACCTGAAATTGTCTAGCTCAATGCTTGCACAGAGTAACTTCCCAATAAAAGATTACGATAAGACAGGAAAAATTGAGAATGGGCAATAAATACACAAAAATCTAATTCTCCCAGTTATGACCTTCCCAGCAACTGTAGTTCTGATCTAAAGAAGAGCAAATCTTTTAGAAGCCAGCATGTAGTGAAGCAGACAGGGGGAGCTGACAGGCACATGATTCACACAGATAATAAAAAAGCAAGAATGTTCCAGCCTAGTAGAGTAGCTATCTGCAAATGTAATTTAAGCCCAGATGTTGATATTGACAAATTCATGAGCAAAATGGGGATATAGACATTCTGCCATCAGGCATAACCTATAAGCCGTGTTCATTTTTTTTCTCTACATATAATCCTTACTTTTTTAATAAATGCAACATTAGGTGAAAATTTAATTCAGTGGGGTTAGGATTTATAGAATCTTTATTTCAGTTCATTTTCTAAAGCACTGTAAATTTGAAGCGTCAGACGGAGGAAGTAAACAGCTTAGTTTTCTTTCAAAGAATTTGGCGTGGTGAGGGAGGAGGGATGTTAACTTTATGTTTTATTCCAGTGCACAAAATATACTAATTATATTTTTGATTGGCCTTGGAATGCTACAGAAGTATTGAGGAGCTTTAATTATTCACTTAAGGGAAAGAAAATGTGTACCATTTTGTCAGGCATTGCATATTTTTATGATTTAGTTTTGTGTTGCTGAAAATTGAATCTAGGGCTCATGCTTGCTAGGCATGTACTCTACTTCTGAGCTACTATTTTGTTTCTTAAACTTTGGGTTAATTTTGACACTTAAGGATACTTTCACTGAATAATTTGTGGATGCATTTGACATGATGGAAATAAAAAACTGAACAACTTGAGTATGCTTTTCTGTCCTTTCAAAGAGCTGTAGTAAGGATGAGTAAACTAACATAAAACAGCCAGAGATCCCTGGTGGTGGAATGATTGTGCAGAACTCTTCACTGTGCTTAGAATGGAGACACGGAAAAAACCAAGTAGTAAGCCAGCTTGATTCAAAGGCAAGAAAAACACTTAGATTCTCAACTTCTTGCTTTGTAGCAGTGTCTAACCCTAGACAAACTTTCTTGCCCAGATAAATACTGCTGTGGTTGGTCTGGGGATTTAGCTCAGTGGCATAAGCGCCTGCCTGGCAAGTGCAAGGTCCTAAATTCAATCCCTGGTACCGCCAAAAAAAAAAAAAAAAAAAAAAAAAAAAGCTGTGGTTTAGCAACAGCAACAATGTTACTATTACACAGCTTTAATGGTAAAGTGTATGCTTAGCCCTGGGTTCAATCCCCAGCATACAAAAAAGGAAAAAATGGAATGCTAGAGCAAAGAAGGGCTGTCTGCAAAGCAAAGCTGAAGCATTTAAGAAAGAGTGTTGAGACACAAGGATAAGCAAGTGCTATATTTACTCCCAATAGAATTCTCTTTGGGTTTCTTAAGGAATATCACTAAAAGGTTGGTCTAGGTAAACATCATGTCATTTTCTGACTTGGAAATTATTTTTCTTAAATCATTTAATTTTGGCAATAACTTCTGAATGATTTTCTTTTCCCTTCCTCCCTGTCTTTCTCCATTTGTCTTTGTAGCTCCTCAGAGAAATTTTGAAATTGCCTTCAAGATGTTTGACCTGAATGGAGATGGAGAAGTAGACATGGAGGAATTTGAACAGGCAAGTTGTGCTAGCACGTTTCTTAAAATACATCAGTATTTAAAGTACATTTCATATGTGTTAAATTTAATGCAGGATTTAATAAAGTAGTATCACCTTGTTCTCCTCTTTTAAGTTTAAAATCAATGATGAATTTTTGTCATTATGCTATCGTGATTTAAGTATCTAACCAAAGTTGTAATAATAGCTGTCATTTGCTAAATGTTTTCTGTGTAAAATTCTTTACTTTAGGAACAGTTGTATACATTGTATTTTACCCTCAAAAACCTTGTAAATATAATTATTGTCCCCATGTAACATAAACTGAGAGTCAGAGGAGTTAAATAACTTGCACAAGTGGACATAGTTGGAAACTCATAGATTTTCAGTCTTTTTTTTTTTTTTTAACTTTTTATCGGTACCAGGGATCGAACTCACGACCACCTGCTTGAAACTCATAGATTTTGAAAAGGATTTTAAAGTTTTTGTTGTTTCCTACTTCACCCTGTGTTACTGTGTTAAAAGATTATCCAATAAAGTAGGACTATGTGAAGATTTGAAATCGTTAGTGAATGTGTTAAGTTGACTTACGTTCTGTGCAAATACATACCATGTGGCAGTGTATATTAATATTAAAATGGACATAGCCTACAATCTTTCTGTCTTTTTTTTTCTCTCTCTTTTTTTTTTTGTTAGTTAACTTTCCCAACATGTGTAACAAAGAACATGGCCCAAGTTTTCTTTTTATTGGTATTAACTTTAGTAACTTGAATCCCCAGATACAAGCAGTATAGAGTTACAAGTCCTACAGTCTTTCGGTTCTCCTAGAAGTTTACTTTGAGGAAATAAATAGACAACCCAAGAAAATGCAAAATGTCCATTGCTGCTTTATTTGTAGTACCAAAAAGTAGAAACAAGTTAAAATGGCTGTGAGTAAAGGATTGGTAAATTCTATACAATAAAATACTGTGTAACACTTAAAAGAATTTTAAAAATTATTGAAGAAAGTCACATTGCTAATATAAGTTGGAGTAAAATCTGATTTATGGAAAATAATGCCTGATGCCTCCTGGTGCTTACCACAGGCAGTGTTCTTACACTGACTGTATAGAAAAAGGAGGAAGAATAAACCTGCCCCGTGTACACCTCAGCCCAGGCCTTGTGCCTTGTCTGTATTGTGAATGGGGAAACATAAGGCAAAAAAAAAAAAAAGAAAAGAATGCCTGAAATAATGCCTGCGCATATATATATATATGCATAATTAGGTAATATACATGTAATTATGCATATATAAACAAAAGATTTATATATAAATCTTTCAATAGTTTTCTTGTGAAATATTAACATTTCCTATTTTATTTCTATATTTTTTTGCCTTTATTATAATAAACAGGAATTGATTTTATAAAGGGAAAAACGCTATCTTTAAAAATCAAATTTCTTTAAATATTCATAAGTAAATTTGCTTCATAGTCAAAGATAATAAATAAAATTTGAAAGTTATTTAAGGTAAATACCATTGTTATAAATCTTAAGGTTTCAAGTATTACACTTTTTTTTCAAGGACAGGGGATTGAACTGCAAGTGTTTTCTCTTATCTACACCCCTTTCTTATTTTTTATTTTATGACAGAGTCTTGCTAAATTGTAGTTTCCTACACTGGGCTCAAACTTTTGATCCTCCTGCCTCAGCCTTCCAAGGGTGCTGGGATCACAAGCATGCACCATCACACTTGTATAGCATTATGCATTTTTAATTTGGCACTTTAGAAACCATCACCCACAAATCAGTATGTCTTATTTGCCTACCATGTCTTTATTATTTATTCTTAGCCTGTCTGGTTTTTAATTATTCTGAATAGCTGATTTTGTTTGCTGAAGAGATAGAAGTGGTCTAAAAGCTGTGGCAATCATAGCCATGCCTGAAAGAGTTTATTTACTTAAGTAGTCACTGTTGTTAGTCCCAAAAATTACCCTTTCTCCAAGATTGAACAAATTTCCCATGTTTCTTGGAGTATTGTTTCATACCACCTTTGCATTTCACGTATCATTCTGACAAATCTATTATTTGTCGTAAAAATCAAGACTTTGTCTGTACCTCTGCTGCTTCTCATCCCAGTTGGAGAGGTAGTAGTGACAAATGTGTTTAAAAGTCTGCCAGGATACAAAAGATATCATTGTGAAGTGAATAATTATTCTAATTGTGTGAGAGAGGTGTTAAGCCATGCGAAACAAATATTCTTTTCTGAAGGGAAAGTTTCCAAGTGTGTCCCAATCATAAAGATATCAACCTGTTTTAGAATCCTGGTTCTGCTACTTGCTAGCCACTTGACCTTGAGCAATCTATTCAGCTCTGTGCTTTAGTCTCCTCGTCTGTAAAATGAGGATAATAGTAGGGCTCACCTTATAAGATTATTGTATGCACTAAAATAGATCATTGTTGTGCAGTGTAGTTACATAGTCAATAATAGTTATTTTTTCCTATCCCTTTTCACTGTTTTGATTTTTCCCCCCCTGAATATGGGTTGGTTTGTTTTAGGTTCAGAGCATCATTCGCTCCCAAACCAGTATGGGTATGCGTCATAGAGATCGTCCTACTACTGGTAACACTCTCAAGTCTGGCTTATGTTCAGCCCTTACAACCTACTTTTTTGGAGCTGATCTTAAGGGAAAACTGACAATCAAAAACTTCCTCGAGTTTCAGCGTAAACTTCAACATGATGTTCTAAAGCTGGAGGTAAGACTTAAGGAGATCTATCACACGTGCATAGAGCTCTGGGTTAGGAGGGCCTGTAACATTGCATTCTTTCCATCTTTCTTCAACTGTGATGACGATTGGTTTGAATTTTATTGGTGATTTATGACCTAGCAATAGATAAGAAATGATATAGTCTGTGAAAATGTCATGGAGTGATGGGGTTCTGGAACTGAAAGTCAAAAAAGTCTACCTGTAAATCTTAATTGGCTTTGGAGACCCCACTGGAGGACAATAAAATCAGTGCTTAGAGCAGTTCTCACCCTGAGTGTGCACCCCAGTTTCATGTTCATTGTTGGGAAGGCACTAGAAGGTTGAGATGAGGAGACATATTAAACAAGTCTTCCTTTGAAAGTTTGCAGAGCTGGTAACAGCTGGAAATACCAAATGTTAGAATAAAAATGTGCGCTCAGAGTTGCAAAGGTGTCTCACTGTTTTGGAGGATTTACTTGCTTACTTATCCACTCAAAGTTTAGACAGTCAAGCTGCTCACTTCCTGGATACTTCTTAAAAGTATCACTGCATATACCTCAGGTATACTTACTGAGTTACATGTTTTGAATTTATTGACAATTGTTTCTATTCAAAATATTTAACATATACCTTCTATGTGTACTTCTATCTGGAAACAGAAAATTCTCTAATTTCTTGAAATTTAAAAAAATTCAATTAGACTACTTTTTCTTGGCCTCTTTTTCATGCCCAATTTTAATATTACTTGGAATTTCAAAATATTAAACACTGAAACATATGAAAAATATAAAGAAACAATGCTTGGTTTCCAAACTGTGTACAGCACTCTGTCTTTTCTTCCATTTTCTCCTGATTCTGACAAAGTCTTCTTACCTTTTCTGCCCACCAGACTCAATTGACACAGTTTGAAAAATCACAACTGAACTCCAATTTTCCATAAGAATATTTGATAATTTTCATAATGTTGGGGGGAAAACAGATGAATAATATTTAAAACCAAATCGAACATTGAAATATACTTTTACTTTTTTTGAATATGATATGAGTAATATTCATAGAATTTACCTTTAAAAAGTAATGAATTTCTACAAGTTAGTCAAGCTTCTTATGGAGGCCCTTGTAGCCCCTATGCTAATATGTAGGCAGGAACTCTACATATAGTTAAAAGTCAGCACACTTTTACTACACTGAGAAGCAGTTTAGCTTCCTTGTTCTGACTCACTTGGCACTGTTGGGTGGATAATAGCTTTCTCTGTTTAGCACAGAGCACAAGGCTAAGTAAGCATTAGGAAAGGTGACTGCATCGGGATTTCAAAGGTTTTTCCCCACTGCATGTTCAACACATCAGCCTAGCAAATCACCGAAACGATCTGACCAATAACTGAAGCAAAAGTGATTAGCTAATCAGCTATCTTTAACCAGAAATTCAATCATAAATTGATGATAATACTTCAGTTTCTGAATGTTATAGTTGACATGTTACTTGGTTAGCTATTTGAAGAAGAGTTTCTCTTCAGAAATACCACAGTATTCTGATTCATACCAGTTACCTTGCCACAATAAACTGTTGCAAATAATAGAATTTAAAATAGGATTTCACAAAATAGAAAAAATGAATGCATTTAGTGCATTGTAGGTATTAGGCTTCTAGAACTTCATTTGGAAATACTAGTATTTGAATATCCTTTGAATATCCTTTATCTAAAATGTCTGAATGTTGAATATCCTTTATCTAAAATGTCTGGAACCAGGTGTTTTGGAGTTCAGAATTTGTTTGGATTTTGGAATATTTGCATATATATGGGAGGGTACCTTGGGAATGAAACTCATTCTTTTATGGTGGGGGGTATTGAGACAAATTCTCACTACGTAGTCTAGGCTGTCCTTGCACTCACTTTGTAACCCAGGCTGGCTTCGAACTCCTCGCAGTCTTCCTGCCTCAGCCTCCCCAATGCTGGGATTATAGGCATGCACCCAACTGAAACTCAGTCTTAACATGGCATTCCTTTATGTTTCATATATACTCCATATTTATAACCCAAAGATAATTTTATAATTTTATTAGTACCTGTTCTTTGATTGTAACCCATAAAATGATGTCAGATATGGATTTTTGACTTGTGATATTATGCTAGGATTTATAAAAATTTCTGATTCTGAAACACTTCAAATTTTAGATTTTTGGGACCAGGGATGATCAGTATATTTTCACCAGGGATGATCACATTTTACTTTGTCCACTGATTTATATTTAGTTGTACTTATATATAAAAAATACTAGAGATGCTACAATAGAGCCAATATATATAATATAATATATTGTGAGATACATTATTGTGAGATATTATCTACATACACACACATATATCTCAGAGTATAGAGGAAAAAAATAGATCTTATCCAACAATTTTTGCATAAGAATATGTCCTTGGTTTCAAGTCTTATGTTCTAGCATGCATTCTGACTGGCCTTCTTCAGAAATATTTAACATAATATATAAATATTTAACTTATTAATTATACAACTATAATTTAACATAGGATATAGATCCATAAAATATAGTTAGATTAAAGCACAAAGTATTATGATACTTTTAATAAACTTTGACAAACAATGCAGAGTCAACCCAGAGGACTGATGAAGTTCCAGCCTGACCACATTCTAGCCTAAGACTCATTGCTGGAAACCGAAGTAGAATTCTAAAGAGAGAAAGAGAGAGCACAGGCTGTTGGTCTTTCGTCCTGAGATGCCATAGAGCTGAAAGCCCACTAATGTGTTGTGTAGATTACCTGTGGGGTAAAAGCTTATTAAGCAGATTAGGATACACGTCTCTGTACATAGCAAACACCCAAATGCAGAAGAAAAGAGATATAATAGCAATCCTATGTAAGGTATTGTTCCAAAAAGTTCTGTTGTGTTTGCCATTGATTTAGGGTTATCTGTGGTCTTTGGGCCAGCAGTTCCTCAGGTGAGGGGATCAGTGGACTTTTTGTGGGGGAACCTAGCCTGACATTTAGTAAGTGTTATTAATCCTGAACTTGTTCTGTCCATGTGATGATGCAGGTCAAGTTCAGAAATGCTTCCATATGCCTCGCCCCATATTAAAATTTTGTCAGTCAGTAATGTATCTTTCCAACTAGATATATATGCCTTTGAAGACATGTGAATAGCAGAAAAAACATTGGATTTGTTGCCATTTAGGCCTTGGTTAAAATTTTTATTCCACCACTCAACTGAGTGTGATATTTAATACATTATCTGTTCTTGCAGAGCCTGATTACTTGTTTGTAAACTGAGCAATGGTTAAATGAAGTGATTTTTGAAGAGGAAAAAAATAAAATAACAATAAATCAATGGGCTTCTTTAACTCTAAAAAGGTGTCTGAGGAGAGGGAATGTGAGTTGGGGCCTTAGGAACTGGAGGGGGAAGGTTCTGTGTGGGTATCTGGAGAAGGGGATGCAAGTGGAGGCACAGGGCCCTGAGCTTTGAATGAGCATGGCAGATTTGAGGCAGTGTGGTCTGGTGCACACATGACTTTTGCATGAGTCCAGCTGTTAGTTTTTTGGGACCAAAAGGTGTCATGAGTACAGGGAACCTCTCCTCCCCACTGGAGAGCAGCATGAAGTGGTACCTGCTCGAATTGGACCCTGAGAGCTTAGCCCAGTAACATCAGGCCTCAGTTGGAAGCATCCTCCCACTGGATGCTTAGCTACAGAACCATGGAGGAGGCTGGAGCCCTGCCCCTGGACACTGTCCATTGCCTCAAGGAGCTAGAGGTAAGATTTTTAGACTTTTCCAGTTTCCATGAAAAAGTAACAATAAATCAGAGCTTCAAAACAGGCTAATAGGAGAGGAACAATAATTAATACATTGCATATTGTTATCTGCATAGTAGTTACTCAAAGTACAAGATATAGGCATAAAATACTGTCCAAACAATATTAGCACAAACCTTTCTTTTCAATGAACTTAGAGAAACTAGCTGTATAACTATCTTAACTAAAAATATGTTTATATATATAAGATAGTTAAGGTAGTTATACAGAGATGACGTTTTGTTACAGTCTGAAATGTGTTCCTCTAAAATGTATACCCCAAGGTCTCAGAATATGGTTGTACTTAGAGACAGGGCTTTGAAAAACATGGTTACATTAAAAGGAGGCATTAGGATGGCTCTGATCTGATCTGGCTGGCTCCTTATAAGAAGAGAAGAGCTGGATACACAGAGAGCCAGCAGGGTGCATGTGTACAGACGGCAGTCCTGTGAAGAGGCCGCCAGAGGGAAGGCATCCGCCAGCCAAAGGGAAGAGCCGCCAAAGAAACCAAGCCTGCTGGCTCCTGATTCTTGGACTTAGAGCCTCCAGAACTGGGAGAAAATGTATTTCTGAGTTTAAGCTACCCTCATGTAGTTCTGTTGTGGCAGCCCCATCACACTAACACAAGATCATATATGTAACACCACCTGGCATGTAACACGCCTTTAAGAAGTGTTTTCACCTTTTTTCCCAATGCTACCTCTCTGCCATAACATTATGCATACAGTAGGTGCCTTAACAGTTCGCCCAGCTGAATGACGAAAGGCCTTATTATGACTTTGAAGTCATTTTCAATAAAACATCTGGAAAATGACAGCAATTTTTGTTCTTATGATACTTTGAATTTCACTTTTCAAAGTTTAGGCAATTTTTCCCTTCACTGACTATGAAATATAATCTCATCATAGCTAGGAGGAAAATAGAAATGATTAATAGTATCCAAATACCTTTCATATGAGTTTTATAATTTCATTATTCTTTCTATTTTAATTTCATTAGTTATATATACTTTAAAATTTCAGATAGAGGAGATTTATTATTCCATTTAATTATTTCTATCTTTTCCTTAGCAAAATCTGTTTGAGAGTAAAGAGAATTTTATCTGTCAAACTTAATTTGCAGAGGGCTTAGGAAAGAAGGAAAAATCCACAAGCATTTATTGAGTGCCTCCTGTGATGCAGGCACTTTACATAC